TTTTTTTTTTTTTCCTTTCTATTTTAGAATTTGGAAAAAAGCTGTTAATGTCCCGGTCTACTATTAAATGCATATTATTGATGACTTTTCTGATTGTCTCTGATTTGTCACATTCCCATTAGCATTTAAATTACATATAATATTCCCTCTTGTTCAAACTGCATTTATGTTTAATTGCTATGCAGAAGCAGCTCCTTTTCCTTGAACAAAGCAGATGCAAACCTTGGCACAAAGTGCATATTTGAAAACCTTAAGTGACAGATGTACTGGAGTCCTTTGCAACCTTACTCAGGAAGTCAAATACTAGGAGGTTAAACTTGAGGATGTTTTAGTGTAGATTTCCCTGATAAAACTATACCTTCTATTCCATAGCATTTTATGAACAGGGAGTCATGGAGCATGAACAGTGTGTCTCTCTGCAATGGAGAGTTTTTATAAATATGCCTTTAGGAATTGACTTAATTTCTAAAATTAAAACTTTTGCCTTGTTATTGGTAGTTTAACAGACTTCAACTTTCTTCCTCTTTCCCAGATTTTGGTGTTAGTGCATTTTTAGCAACTGGAGGTGATGTTACTCGTAACAAAGTAAGGAAAACATTTGTTGGTACTCCCTGTTGGATGGCCCCTGAAGTAATGGAGCAGGTATTTCTAATGCTAATAAAAAATTTAAAACATTTTTTCTTTTAATTTTGGAACTTGAGACATTGCTACCTTGTTTTTCCCTTCTGGTTCTGTTTTAGGTGCGAGGTTATGACTTCAAGGCCGATATGTGGAGTTTTGGGATAACAGCCATTGAGTTAGCAACAGGAGCAGCACCTTATCACAAATATCCTCCTATGAAAGTAACAATCACTTTGTATCACTTGAATAACACCATTAGCTGTATTATTAATGCTGCTAGATAGTTAGTACTACTTCATTTTCAATAACCACTCAGGTTATTTAAATAGATGGATTCTGTGGAGTTTTTTTTTCTCTTTTAATTTCTACATTTTGAATTGGTTTTGCTTACGACTCCGCGTTTTTGGGTTTATTTTAGGTGTTAATGCTGACGCTTCAAAATGACCCTCCCACTTTAGAGACAGGTGTAGAGGACAAGGAGATGATGAAAAAGTATGGCAAATCCTTTAGAAAACTAATTTCATTATGCCTTCAAAAAGATCCTTCCAAAAGGTAGGTCACTATTGCCATTTACAGTAGAATTATCTTTTAAAATATATAGACTCCTTTAAGTTACAGTGACATAATCTTAAAGTGTATGATTTGAGTTTTATAAGTGGCAGCCTTCAGTCATCTCCATCTGGGGAGAAGAAATTGCCTTTTAACTGTCCCTTAGGTTTACTTCTTCTGGTTGTTAACCTAATGTGTTTATACTTAAACACAGTATTGAATTAAATTCCTATCAAACAAAAGTCCTTGCTCTACATCTTAATTTCTCATCTGAAGCAAGATATAAATCTTGATACTGTGCACAAGTCTAACAATACTGCTCAGATTGATCAGCAGAGCTGTTGGTAACCAAATACGTCATTCTCTTGGCCTTAAAAGAAATCAAAAAGAAATTATTTTACATTGCTATTTCTCATTTTGTGACATAAACTTAGTGTTGCTTTTAACTGGGATATTTCCAGAGAAAATTATTCCAAAACCRTTGTTGAGATCCCAAGTTCCCTGAGTGATTAATTTATTTATTCATTTTTATGCAGACACATTTTTGTAGGCTTCTTTTGCTGGAGAGTTGTAGGAAGCACATTCTAATTAACATTATTWCCTAAGGTATTTAGTCTATCACTGTTTCCTAGGCTTTCAGAGCTACTCTTTCTGGGGAAAGGTTGTTCTGAGAGAGCAATCTTGATTTTATGTGTCATTTATGGTATGTAGTTCCTGGTGGAATGCTACCCTAAGTCCAGGATGTGGTTGTAGGGAGTCAAATCAAAACATTGACAGCAGGAACACTAAGAGAACAAGTATAATTAACAAAAAAGATTAAGAAATTAAGAAAAAAACCCTTACCCTTATTGGTCTTAGTAGCAAGTCCTGATGCTTTAAACTTGGTGCTGCTGTTTGACTACTTACAGATAGAAATGAATAATAGTAATAATGGATAATCAAGCTCTTGATAATCAAGCTTCTTTTAGTTTCCAGTATCCAGCAATTTCAGGGCAAAATTAAAWTGGTATGAAGTCATGAGAAGTAAATCAAATGAGTTTTCCTTGTCTCCTTGAATACATAATGCTGAGTTACCTGACCTGTAGTAAAGGTATTGGTGTTGAAGCATTAGTGTTTAAGGTACTTACTTGAATTTCTGAATTTTTTAAAGCACATGCAGTATCTTCACAGGCAGGATTGCCTTGAATGGAACAGTTAGACCAGCAGATAGGTGCTTAGATCTGTGTGCCAGTTACTCTATACTGGTATAGAGCAGTTTTTTTTTGTATTGGGAGGTTATCACTAGTTTTCACATTTCTTGCAAGCCAGGATGTAATTTTGCACAGAGATACCTCCAGTAGCCATCATGTCAGTCATTGGAGAAGTGCTTGCTCTTTGTGGCAAATTCTAGGACTGGCATTGCCCTGCATTTGGCTCAGACTATGCAGTTTTTCTTTTGGGGATCTGTGTGGGTGTTTCACTCTCTCCCTAGTGCCAAGGATGCTGCTCACAGTCCTCAGCTGCAATTCACTGCTGCAGCCWGTGTGGAAAAACAGGGCCAGAAAGCAAGTCCAGACCAGTTCAGAAGTGTCCRGCATAATTAATGGCAGAGGAATGGAGAACACTACTTCAAATAAAACTTTACTGAAATGTAGCTTTTCAGTGTGATAGTCCTGTTATGTGTTGTGATGCTCCAGTACTYTGGGAACTTTAAAACTTTGACACAGAAGCTGATTTTTCTTTTTAATAGTTTCTCTTCCTTTTTTTCTCATACAAGATATATGTATGGATTACTACTGAGTCTGGTGGTCTGCACAGCAGCACTAATCAGAACTTCTTTATTGTAGAGTTTGGTTCTGTGGAGGTGAAGAAAAATACATGCTCTATGGAACCTACTCTCTGTTCTAAATTGAATTCTTTTTGTTAATGTCAAGAGTTGTTTCATTATTTCTTGCAGGAGTGAACTGATATATACTTACAGACTTTTCACTACTTTTGCTCACTTACTTTTCAGAACTGTCCTTAAAGAAATAAACTAAGTCAGATTTTGTTTTTTGGTTTTTTTTTTGAGATGAACATTTCCCTAATGGAAGCTTTCCTACTGTGTTATCTAGCTTGTGCTGTATCCAATCCCTTGCTGGAATTCAAATGGAAGACTAGAACAGATGTTGCTTCTGTTCATTTAGAAATAATGAATCTGGAAGATTCTGACTTCCCTAAATTTATCTGTGTCAAAATTTGTCCTGGATGGTTGTATGGGCCCCTAAGAGAAATGATGGAGGATTTTATCTCATCCCAAGAGATGCTTCACTTTCTCTCCAGAGTTTGCATCAGTACCAGAGTCTGGCCTTGGCTGGATAGGTAGCTTTTTGGATCCCTGAAGCTAGGGAGACAGAACCTGCTGTGTTGGAATCACTTTGGTAGTGAGACTGTAGTTATCTCTTGGAAATGCTGAAACAGACTTAAACAAAACTGCGAGTAAAAATAAGGTGTCTCAGTTTCTACCTTACAGCTGTTGCTTTGGTTTGTATTTGTCTGCTTGACTGGAAGATGATCCTTATGACTCTCTTTGGTTTATGCATCATGTAAKAGTGTCAGTATAATTTCTTGTGAATGCCTGCTGAAATCAGTGRAGTAAAAGAAAGCCAATAGGAAGTACTGATGCTGCTGTTTGGAAAATGTAATTATACTTTTATTGCTGTGGAGCAAAGTTTTAGTTGCATTYGTAGAGTCATTTGGGGAAGAAGACAATACCTGACTTTTTTGTGTGTTCTGGATTTTTTTTGTTTGTTTGTTTTGGTTTTTTTAAAGGTTAAATGCATTTGTGTTGAACAAAAAAGGGGGGAAACTGGCAGCTTAAGAGACTGATTTTTTGTTTTCTCTCTTTTTTGGTATTTTTGCCATAGAGAGGCTTAATTTTTTTCATGTGTGGTAAGTGAGTTTGTGTGAATTAATTCAGTAGCTATTATCATTCATTCCCCATTCATACAGTACTAATTCAAAAGTATTAGAGACGACCATTTAACTAACGTCTTGTACTGTATTCACTGAGAGGGGTCTTTGTTTTCTGTTCTAATTTATTATTGATCTTTCAGGCCCACAGCAGCAGAACTTTTAAAATGCAAATTTTTCCAGAAAGCCAAGGTAAAACGTTTAACCCTACGAGTAAATTTTGCTCTGCCTTAAAATCTATGTGAAATTTTTTCTTTTCTCGTACTGATTTTTAACTCAACAAATGTTGGTTTTGCAGAATAGAGAATACCTGATTGAAAAGCTTCTCACTAGAACACCTAATATAGCACAAAGAGCAAAAAAGGTGAGTGTATTCACATATTTTTCTTGACTGGTGTAGAGGACAAAGCAGGGACTCCTCAGCTGCCTCAGATTTTTAGTTGACTGAGCCATTCTTTTAATATAGTCCTTCAAAGACAGTGAATGTTTAATGAATGTTTTCTGCAGCCTTGCTTTCTCTAGGAAGCCCTGAGGCATTTTGACTCCTTTTCTGGCCTTGTCAAAATGATACATGGTGTTTGTCATACTTGATATGATTTTTTTCTCACTTTCTTTTACAAAGATAWAGGTGAAGTAGTTATGGGGAAAAAAGGTGACCAGCAAACAAATAAATTCATAAACTGCAGCATTCMTATCTTCATTGATCACCTAGAGAAAGGGTGAAGATACTGTAAGTGGTAATTATTGACAGCTGCCTGGTTCTTTGGATTATTTTTAATGTTATTCCCAAAAAGTCAGGTTGAAACTCCGCTAGAGTGCTGCTGAGCTTTGAGACCAGTGGAGCCTTGTTCCACAGTGGCAGAGTTAAACCCACAGCTGTGGCACATGCTGGTATTTCTGTGGTGCCTTTGGCACTTGTGTTAATGAGCTTACCGAGTCATGTGCAGCAGAATGCAAAAAAAAACATTAACTCCTAACAGGTAAGTGTTGTAAACCTGTTAAATATGAAGCCAGCTGCTGTTCAAAAGAGCTAAGAAACAGGAATGAATGTGGACTCCTGTTTGTTGTGTGCAAAGAATTGTRGAACTCCCTTTGACCGTTCTGTCGTCACTTAACTCATCATGTCTCTTCAGTGTGACAGACACCTGCTCTGAGACTGCTGAGCTCTGCAGGCGACAGAGTCGTGTGCTGAGTCCAGCTTTCTAAAAGCAGGCTTTCAAGGGGGATGTTTTGAGGAGGACATTTCAGAAAAGGAGCTGTTTCAGCCTTTGTTGGCACATCAGTTAGGCTGCAGCTGCCCGGACTGGCACTTYTGCGATTTTCTGTTGTCTTTGGGAGTATCTGTTTGGTGTAATTCGTACAACTCTGAAATGCTCTGATGGCTGGTGGCTCATACTTGTGACAGCAAGATCTGAGTGCTTCAAGTTCCTTCAGATCTTCTTCCATATGRAAGTAATTTTGGGCAATCGTTGAGGGGGGCTCTGAGAGGCTGGAGTAGGAGCGGTGCTGAGGGGCTTTGTGGCAGGGCTCTTGTGCTGAGCGGGTTTGCACTGCGGGAGGGAAGGAGGAGTTCGGGGTTTGGCCGTGTGGTGGCAGCAATGCCCACATAAACAATGATCCAGCCTGTGGATTTCAGTTTGCACCTCGGCTGTGCGGGAGTGATGGGGACACGTGCTGGTGGCAGCCAGGCTTCTGGCACAGCAGTGTACCTGCTGAACTTTGGTCTCCAGCTGTACCTCGGCTCAGCTTTGGACACTGCACAACTCATGCATACACACACCTATAATTGCTTCCTTACATAGCACAACACTTGGAATGGAAAAGGRAATGTGGGATTGCCTCCTGTATGCCAACAAAAAGAATTCTGTGAATGACTTCTTTGACAGCTCTTTCTAATCTTAAAAAATAAAAGCTGTGCAGTGGTAGAGACTAATTAATACATCTTTAATTGCATCATAAAAAAAACCCAACAAAAACCTGTTTGTGTTCTAGCTACTGAAAATGCTAAATTTTTTATATTTTAAAAGGACACAATATTAAAATTCATTGGGGATTTAAAGTTTAATTTGCTTGTTAGAACTTTATGTGTAGCTGCTATTTTAAGACACCATAAAATATAAATGTACTTTAATAATAAAACTCTGAGGTTTTGTTTAAAAAGCTTGTGCAAGTCGAGTTYGGTTGCTTAAACATTAACATGTGAAATGTCTAAGAGGTTGCTCTTGGATAAAGTAACCCCTGTAATTGAAAAACTAATGTTACTAGGGCAATAGATAGGAAGGAACTGGTGTCATCACCACTTAAATTATCTTCTGTAGCACTTGGTGTAAAATGCCTATGACTAATGATCTGTAGCACCTCTGCTAGTACAGATGTCAGATCTGCCCTGCAGTAATTTAATTTTTCTTCCATTTACCACACRTATAATTGCTTTGCCTTGTTGCCCAGAACTCCAGCCTCAGTTTAGTTTTAACTTTAAATTCTTATTTCTTCACATAGTGTTCTCATATTTTGCATTTGCCTTTGCAGCTTATACTTGGCAGCTGGTTTTTTCTAAATATGAGTTTGGGTTTGAGTTGGGTTTCRGGATTTGTGAAATCCTGAAAGCAGGTACAGAGGTCTTGTATGTGTGAGGMAAACATTCGGTGCTCTAAAGATGTGCCCTGCTTTAAACACCAATTCAATAATTAAGCAATCTCTTAATTGTGTGTTTAAAATACTTTTGATCATTAAATTTGTAAGCTCCGTGTTTGTGCACATGTTCCCTCCATTCCACTCTTTCATTTTATTTCAATTCTGCTAATTTTTAAATGATCTCCTTCTTCCTTGCCCTAGCTGTTAATTGAGGACAATGCTGAACCACTTCCCCAGGAGGAACATGTCCTACCTCTCCCTGTTTGGGACCTGGTTAGATGTGTATTGGTACTGCCCCAAGGATTGAGTGTTACACTGAAACTTCTTCCAGCCAGTTTTGGGTTGCACTGACGGGGCTGCTCACCTTTGAGAGCATTGTTGGTGTGAAGAAGAGCTGGAGAAAAGGCTGTGGTGAATGGTCCAAGCTCAATGTGGTTTGGTAAACAGGGACATGCTCTGAAGACAAACTTTTGTCATTGATATAAATGTAGGAGCCCTGACAGCCCCGTGCCTCTGGCTGGTTGGGTGCTGTGGTGGTAGAGCAGCCTGCCCAGTCCTGCTTGGATGAGGGTGTAAAACARCTCACCAAGAGTTAACAGATACGACTTATTAACATGTGCTGAAGTGGTTTTAATTTTGAACTGAACACGAAGTTGTTTCATTTGTGATTAGGATTATTGTATTGGAAAAGAGCAATTTGAAATTTGAAACATCATTTAGCATTCCACAGTCAGTTTTCAAATCTTGTCACACTAAAAAATTAATTATAACTGTAAGTACTCTGTATGCCCAAAGGCCCTGGGTCAATTTTATGGTTTTATAATCCAATGTTTTTAATTTTTAAAATCTCCTGCATGACTGCCATTTCTACAAAGTGAACAGGGAAAAACATGTATCTGCATTTTGTTTTATTGCTGTCCAAAGTGCTGCTAGTAAAAAAAAATAATCTAAGCAATAATTTGGCTTGAATTCTATTTTTGGAATGCTGGTATTGCATTGTGCTCTTAATAGAAGCTTTTTTTAGCGCTGAGAGTTGTATGTTAGTGGGAAAAACCTCCGACAGCATGAAGTGATCATTAGTGTGAGTGATACCAATTATTATTATACTTCACTAAAAATGCCCTTATGGATGGGCTGAAATTCTAGCTCCTTATTACAGCTATTTTAAGGTAATGGTCATGTTTCATTATATAAGAAATCATCAATCCCCTGTATTTAATGAGACAAATATCATTATATTGCAGGTTTCTTAGACAGCTCTAACAGCATGATTGCACCTTAGCAAGACATACATGTGCAACACTGCCTTTTTCAGTAATGGATTTAATCTGATAGATACATCTCACCAGTGATGTGTGTTAGTACAGCTGGGCTCCAGCTTGGTTGAAAAGGAGAGAGGAACATGAGTTTGAGCTCAGATTGTTAATAAAATTGTATATTAATTTTTCTCTATTCTTTAAGAAAAGCTTATTTTGATTATGTTGATGTATAAAGTGAAGGGACGTGCTATACTGGAGCACTTGTTCTGGAAAGCAGCAACTGAACTATAAATATTTGTTTTGACAAGGCTTTGTGTAGGGAGTCTTTTCCATTGCAAAGGATTGATTGTTCAGTTTATCCAGAAAACTGCTACAAATTAAAAAAAAAAAAATGGAACTGTGTTTATATTGTTGAATTTTACTAAAAAAAGGAGAAATTGCCATTCAGACCATGTCAGGTATTTCATTTACTTTCAAGAAGGTGTTGGAAGGGAAATCTAATGAAAACACTTTCTCCAAAAATGTAAATTTGACAGAAGTTCACACAATCAGAAAGTGGTGCCTGCATTAGTGGGTAGTAGAAGTGGAAAGTGTTTTAATGGGCAGACACATGCAGTTGCACCAGCTATGTTTTAACATTTCATATGAAGGAAGAAGATTGATTATTGTTTCTGCCAGCATGTAATTGTGCCATTAGATGCAAGAGACTTCATGCAGTATATGGGCTTGCACATCTTTTCCTTCMTAGAGTGCTTTTGCCATCTGTATGGTCATTTGTGAGGTTGGATTTTGGGCCTTCTCAAGTGACACAAATTGTTACAGAACAGGTGAGCTTTGAAACAAACCGTGGCTTAGCTGGGTGCCTTTGTAGTTCAGATACCCATATGCATATCTAAGATARCTTGTATTATTTGTTATGGCAGAGTTTAAAAGCTTATACATGATTCATCTTAGTAAAAAGTACCCCTCTTCCCTATTGGAAGGTGTGTTCCAGTTCATGGGCTGTCGTGGTTCCACTTCAGAATTAAATTTTGCAGTGAGTCGCTGTCTCTTCTGCAGCAGCATTGRTCCTTAGCTAATGTTGTTTTCATGACCTGGTGACTTGTTTGAGAATGTCTTGAACATGGACTGACATGGCATTAGTGTATAATGAGAACTTTGGTGATTAGACCAGTAGCTTTTAGTATTTGGCATTTATAAAAGTTGTTGAAACTTTCAGAACTGGAGGAGGATTTTCTTAAAAGTGCTGTTGAAGGACTCGTGGTTAAAGAGTCAAGACAGGATAAAGGAAGTCCAGGTGCGTATGATGCTGGTGATAGTTTTTCATCAGGAAGTCAGCCTTGTAAATAAGCAGAAGATAATCCTGTTTTATTGTCCTATTCTGTAGGGATTTGGTTTTCTGGTTCTAACAAGGTGCAGGAAGATGCTGGTTTTACCTGTGTACCTTCTGAGAAATTAAACCTMCAGCATT